GAGACTTTCTCCCCAGTTGCTAAGATAGGTTTGGTTCGTGTTGTGATCTCTCTTGCAGCTATGTATGATTGGCCCCTCCATCAGCTTGATATCAAGAATGCTTTTTTGCATGGTGATTTGCTCGAGGAGGTCTACATGGAGCAACCATCGGGGTTTGTTGCTCAGGGGGAGGATGGTAAGGTATGCAGACTAAAGAAGGCTATATATGGGCTTAAACGGTCTCCTCAAGCATGGTTTGTTAGGTGCTAAACCAACTGAAACACCTATGGAAACAAATACTAGGCTAAGTAGTGATATGGGTGAAGTGTTTGAAGACCCTGGCAGATACCGGCAACTTGTAGGTAAACTGAACTACCTAACCATTACTCGGCCAGACATTTCATTTGCGATTAGTGTGGTAAGTCAGTTCATGCAAAAACCTCTGGTTCCTCAATGAGATGTGGTTCTAAGAATTGTGAGGTATTTAAAAGGGACCCCTGGTCGTGGTTTGATATACAAAAGTGGTGGAAAACTTGAAAAAGAAGGGTATACTGATGCTGACTGGGCCGGTTCTATGTCTGATAGGAGGTCTACCACAAGCTATTGCACTTTTCTTGGGGGTAATCTGGTGACATGGAAAAGTAAGAAGTAGACAGTTGTGGCGAGAAGCAGTGCAGAGGCAGAATATAGAGCTATGGCACATACTGCTCGTGAATTAGTGTGGCTAAGGAACCTTCTACAGGAGATAGGATACAATATTAACACTCCAATGAAGCTCTATTGTGACAATCAGGCTGCAGTTCATATTTCTTCTAATCCAATGTTTCATGAAAGAACCAAACACATAGATGTTGACTGTCACTTTGTGAAAGAGAAGGTGCTGAATGGAGTGATAGACACTGCATATGTTAACACAGGGAACCAGTGAGCAGACTTATTTACAAAAGGGTTGAGTCGGGAAAGAATGGACTACATATGTAACAGGTTGGGATTATATGATATATACTCACCAGCTTCAAGGGGAGTGTTAGTGTAGGGGTATTTCTGTCTTTATACTTATGTTGAGGTTGTTGATCTGTAATATTATATTAGAACTAGTGTCCCTCACTTAAATAAGGGCACWTKTGTMTTTYCCATTATATTAGTAATATAAAACATGTCTGGCCGAATGGGAGAAGTAATTTTTCCCTAATTCGAACTAGACTTTTCTTCTCTCCTTTTCTCCTCCTTTCTCTCTCTCTCTTTCTCTCTTCTTTCTTCTCTCTTCTTGGCTGTTATCAGACTAACAAAACTCAAAGGCAGGTCGAATTATAATATTTAGTTTCCTACAAATCACCCGTGACTTTGTGTATTTGAATCTCCATGCGATCAATTCTGCTGTCTTCTTCAAGCCTTCAACGTTTTGATACCAATTGTCGGGGTATTGCCCAACATAGGCTCCTCTTTGAGGGAGAAGTTGCCTCCTGAATAGAAGAAAGTGAGATAACAGAGAGAGAGTGGAAGATGAATGAGGATACGGTAAACTTCTTATTCTTCTTAGAGTACAGAACCTCCTTTTTATACATCTGTAATAGTCATGTGACATCTTATTATAGCTAATCCTTTTACCCTCAATTTCTTGGTTTGTTACTTGTAACTGAATCTTGATTAGTTGCTAGTTGGTTCTTGGTTAGTTGTGCTGTCTCTGAGGTTGAGTTGGCTTTTTCCTTTTCTTCTAGAATATACCTTCAGCCTATTGTTCGTTCTTTCTAGGTCCCTAACATTTTGGCTGGGTTAAAAGGACAGCAAATGGGTTGGCAGATATCCTAGCAAAACAGAGAACTGCTAGATCCAATTTATTTTGGGCAATTATGTAATCTGTAGTAGTAAGAAAGGGATGAGAAAATAAAAAGTGTGGGCAAGATGTACTCTGGTGAGTATGCTGGGCTACTGTGTAGCTAAAACTTTGTATTTATCTCAAACATTAAATAATGAATTATTTGCTAATCAAAAAAAATAAAAAAAAAAGCATTACCCAGTTCTAGAGTTGGCAGCAAATCAGAACCAAAAGGAGATCTAGACGCATCTCTAAATTCAAGATAAGCCAGAAAAAAGTTCATAATGAGGGACCTGATATCAGCCACAAGCCCACAATTCTTCTAGTGCCACTAAATTTTCCTTCAAAGATTCTTTTGTTCCTTTCTCTCCAAATACCACAGCAAATTGCAAATGGAATTGAAAACCAGAATTTTTTTTTTTTATGTTTAACTTCCAGAAAAAGCTGGCCATTTCAAAAAAAAGAAAACTCTTTAGAGAAATAGGCCCATGTATAGGTCCATCCACGTAATCCTACAAAGAATCTCCAAACAAAATCTGCTAAGCGTTTGATAAAAGATAATAATAGTCTCTTTGTTACTACAACACATAATACATTGACTTGCCAAACCCTACTTTTTAGATGCTCTAATGTCAAAATATTGCCAAGAGAAAGGATCCAAGCAAATACTCCTACTCTTGGAGCTACTGGATTTACCCCAAACTTTGTATATGTATATGATCAGAAGTTGGGTACGTTTCACCTTTTAAGTATTATATGATTATACATTAAATGGCAGTGGTTTCAAAACTGATTTCTATCTTGTGGAAGAATTTGTCAAAATAATAGGTCTATTCCAGGTTTTATTGATTGATCCACTTAGTTACGAGGCTTCTACCTGGAACCAAGTTATTGATCCTCCAACCAATAATTATCTTTTAGGCAAGGTTTTTAAAACCYGACCAGACAGGGAACCATTCTGGGGACCAGTTCCTGGGTCGAATGGTCCAACCATCCGGTCCAAATGAACATCCCATTCTGACAAAAAAATAAAAAATTAAAAAACAAAAAAAAGGCCAAAACCATTGTCTGGGTCGACGGTTTGACCACATGGGTCAGCAGACCGCTGACCAAATCAACAGTTTTTGGCCAAAAAGCAGTTTTGGGGTGAAACGGAACCGGTCAGGTGACTGGTTCCCGGTTTTTCCAGTCCGACCATATGGTCTGATTTTGAAAACACTGCTTTTAGGCCTTCACTTCCAAAAGTAGAAGATACTGCCTGAGGTCAACATCAATTTTTTCCCTTTTTCCTTTTATGCTAATGGACATTGGACAATATGTGCAGTACGTTAATTCTGACAAAGCTAGTTCAAGTGCATCTTACAGCGCTGGGTTGCATCAGAACAGCAGCCCGAGCAAAACATTTACTGATGGTCCAATTCCTTGTGGATTTAAGAACATGAATCCTAAGTTGTCATTTCAAAATAATGCTAAGGCACCGATATGGCCCTTGGTACAGTAGAATGGTGAAGAAAGAATCTGAATTGTCAACTGCAAGCAGTCAGATGGGATTTTTCTAAGGGTTGAGTTGAAATAGCAATCAATACAGTATTACAGTGTATGGCATATCCAGCAACCCATGCACCATAGATCTTTCAGGTAGTTAGTAATTTGAGCACATAAATGTATTCATTATCATCTGTCAAAATCCTCCTCAACTTCTATGGTCAACATAAAGCTATTTCTCTAGACCAAATAGTAGGAATAACATGAAGAATATAGCCATGCTTCACATCATTATCAAACATAGGAGACTCTCAACTTCCTTAAGAAAGACAAAGCAACTGGATGCAAGTTCATGTGCATGCTCCTTAATGCACTGAATCGGTTGTATGATATCTTGATATATTCAGCTTAGAATAAGTTGAAAATGGTGAAAATTCCCTAAAGATATCGCGCACAGATTAGTCAACTTATGACCACTTTTGTGAGAGTGCTGTAACTGTGGAAAAAGGGGTCATCTCATAGATGCCCTCCTTACTGTAAACACATAATGATCACTCCAACCACAAACAGAAGAGTCCTGTCCACAGTTCTATTAGATTATAAGGTACTAAACAAACACTATGTGTTGCCTATATCCAACTATAATATCTTTGATGGACATGAAACTTCAATAGACAGACATGTTGTGCATCACCTTGTCCATACCTTTGACACAAAAATGTAACCTCATTGATGTCCTCCTCCTCCTCCACACTATAAGCATGTAATAATTACTCTTAAGTGGAACAACAGTACTGCAAATGGGTCTATTTGGTACCATACATGCACTATCTTGTAATCTTTGGCTCATTAACCTGTTTAGATTTGTATTGTTACTACAATAGATTTGCATTCCTCAGGTATGCACCAAAAAATCCATAACAAACCATCTATAAGGCAGATGAGGACCAGTAATCAACAATTACTTAATTATGCTTATTACTGCAAGACATAAGGTTTAAACATCAATATGGTAAACATGTTCACCAAAGTAGCCCCGATCCCCATCCAACTCTCATCCTCCCAACCCCATCTCCACTAAAAAAATAACAAAATAAAAGGTTTTATCCAATGAAAGCTTTCTTGCCAAGATCTCTGAGGAACTCCTTTTGAAAGAAAAAACAAATGCTACCTATTAGATACCAATTTCCAGGATACTTCATCCCGCTTCTTGTTCCAAACAATGTCAATATTTTTTATTCCATTAAAGTCAAACTCCATAGTTTACTTTCTATCAAATGTTAAATTAGATAGTTTCTCTATGATGCCTTGTCACCTGCTAGATTGTATATTTCTTTTTCTATTTTAATAAAATTTTATTTTGCCATAAAAAAAAAAATAGTTTCTAGTAATAACATCAACAGATAGGATCCAAAATTGCAACATCTATTTGTAAACAACCTTTTTCAAGAGCTTGTTATCTTTTCTTATTTTCCTTCCAAACGAGATATAGAGAATAACATAGTCAAAATTGAAATTAAACGTTTTAATTAATTAAATATGTGATACCAACCCATTTTATCCACAAACAGACTGAATACAAAGTATTCCTTAGTAACTTCTATTTCATATTACTGAAGTTCGAACACTTAAATTAAGGATAACAAACAAATGATACACATACAGGAATTTTAATTAGCCAAATGCTTCCACAAATAATGATAAATGAAATAGGATATACCATTTCGAGCTCCTGAGCCATCAAAATGCAAGGACCACACCACGTCGCATAGAAATCAATAATAAGAGGTACATTCCTTTCCCCCTTCACAAGTTCCTGCACCTCCTGGACTGAGTATTTCTTCTGCAAACCCAAAACCCAAGAACCACAACCAGAAACATGAAACTACGAAACAAGGAGACACAACAGGGAAAGAAAAGAAACAAAAGCCCACGAAAGCTAACTCAACGAAAGAAATAGTAAGTAAACATCTACCACTAGATAGTCTTCTCTGAGGTACTTCGCTGAGGGGGGTTTGCACAGTAGCTTCCTTCTTCTTGTTGTTGTTAGAGAAGAGGATCTGCTGTTAGTAGTGAGAGAATGCAAGTTGGGTTGGTGGGTTCTCATGGAGGACAACAGAAGCTGAAGAAGCGGCGACGCCGATGGCGCAAGAAATGCAAAGTTGGTCGTGTTGGTGACGGTGAAAGGTGGTCGGATGGTTTGAATTACAGCCATTCTATAATGTGAGTATAGAACAGAGAACGGAGAGAGAGAGAGAGAGAGAGAGAGAGAGCGCTTCAAAATTCGAAGGAAGAGCGAACGAGCACCAGCAGATAATCCCAATTCAGTAAAAAGACAAGAAAACCCTTGGTGTCCTGGATGACATGGACCAATCAACATTCCACTTCTATGTTTCAGTGAATACTTGAATACTTGGGATAACCGGTTTCAAAAATAATCATTTAAATCGTATTTAAAAAAAGAAATTCATTTCAAGATAAAAAAAAAAAAAAAGACCTTAACGTCTTCACCGTTAAACGTCACCCAGAAGCCGCTCCGGCGAATGGGGGTGCATGATGGCTGAGAAAGCTCACTTCTGACGATGAAGAACGACTGCTTCAAACGGCTAGTACAGGGGGCCTCTGACAATCAAAGACAGACGGGAGCAAGAGGTAAGCAGCCATATGTGATCGAGAAACAGTGCTTTGATTTCTGGATATGATCTTTCTCTTCAATGCTTGTTCGAGTTTTCAGGAGTTTTTTGTTTTCGCGTCTAACAGTAACTAAACAGAGAATGGAAGAAAGATGCCTGGTATCGAGCAGGAGGTGCGCATTAACGGCCACTCTTCCCCTTCTTATGCTGCTTTCCAAGCAAAAAAAAATGGCATGACCAAAAAGCTCCCCTCTGACTCTGTTATTAACCTTGACCAATAAGTTTCCAATTCGAAGCCTATGCGTTATTTGCTTTCATCATTTTCAATTACAGTTGAAGTTGGGTTTTTGATATGTAGATCGTTCCAGGCTACAGTTACTTCATATTCTCGGACTAACGCCTGATGGTATTTTTTATTTGACGTTCGTTAACAGTGGTGATCCAAAAATGTTCGAGCTATATTGGCAGAAGATGGGGGACAAGTGCACAGTGGTGATCTCCGTCTGGCAATCGCTAAGCTACTTCTCCGACATTACAAACTTGTGCTGGTTTCTGCAGCCGGAATTAGCGGAAGAGATCAGACGCTTGCATCATTTGGTGGCCAGCACTGAAACAGAAGGTCGTTACATTGTGGTTGGTACTGGTTCAACTCAACTCTTTCAAGCAGTGCTCTATGCTTTATCATCTCCCGATTCAACAGAATCGATCAACATCATTTCAACCGTTCCATACTATTCGGTGAGTTTTGTTGGAGAAAATGGGGTCACTGTAACTTTGGAAGAGAAGGTCTGAGGTGCGTCTGAAAATATTGTCTTTAGAACGTTATTTGCCCCCACTCAGTTTTACTGAGTTTGTTGTTGGGTTACAGGCAAATTCGTTCCCAGGATACAACAGATCCGTGGGCGAGAATCTGCAACCAGCAAAGTTGAAAAGTCTCCAAATAAACCTTCTGTGAGACTGCAGCAGACCGGACTGAGAGAAAAAGAGAGAGTGGATTTCGAAATTGTGTATTTTGGAGTCTGATTCATGCTCCTTAAATAATTTGTGAAGAGGTATGAAGAAAAGGTAGGTGCTGGTTTAGAAAAGGCACCTTGAACAGTCACAATTTCAAACATTGTGATTGTTTAAAAAGTAGTTAACAGTTGGTGACTGTTAACTTTGAATTGTGCCTCTTGATCACACCCGATCGAATCGTGACCGTTGATCTCATCAACGGTCATCAACGCACCAAAACCAGAGCCGCCCATCGCGAGCCACGCGGGTGCGAGCAAAGTGCGCCTCATTGTGCCGCACACACGCGTGCACGCGCGTTGGGCGGTATCGAATCCCCATACTCTCCTCTACTAATTCTAAGGAGTGTAAATCAGCTCCTATTGAAATACTGAAAACAAAACTTGTAATTTTCCAATGTGGGACAAGTTCAAAACTGGGTTTTGTAAAAGAAAATTTGATTTTTTCAATCAAAGGTACAGGTGCAATTTCTCATGTAATTGATCAATCAAACCCATTAGATTTAATCTCTCATGAGATTAAAATCCAACAAGTTTTCTCACAATCTACTCTAGCTGTGAATTCACGGTGCGTATCATTCGTTTTTAGATAACTAGCAGACTTGTTTGCACGAGAATGACCCATCTGATGATATTGTTGTTGAGATTTGAATTAAGCCATCAGAATTGTTCAATACTTAGGGTGCATTTGGTTCGCGGACAGGACCGGAATCGAAATCACCTATTCCTGGCATCTGTTTGGTTCAGTTCCTGCTTTTTGTTTCAACTACAAGCTAGAATCAGAATCAACCAAAATTTCCAATTCTGCCCATATTAAAAGAATCTCAAAGATTACTAGTACATCTTTTTAAGTGTAATGCTGGTTTATCATTTGCTTGTTGGGAAACTTTTGCAAATATAAGCATTGTCATCTCTAGTGCTTCATTTGGACTTTTGCATATATAACATCAAAAAAAAAAATCTCGTGGCACAATTGGTTGGTCGGCCTCATCTTGATCATGAGATCATCATATTCCTAAATCCAGGTTATTCGCCATCCAACTTCAAGGCTCCAGCTTYCGCTATATGTCTAGTCCACGCAGTCAAAATATAAAAATAAAAATAAAATAAAAGATAAAAAGCAAAAGTATATGGTAGAAGAAGATTTAACCTTCAATCATTGTTTCAGCCTCATAAATACTAGATTGTGGCTTCAACTGAATAAAATCATGTTAGACAGTTGTATGCCCTTAGCTCCAATCATAATGATGTACATTATGAATTTATTGTAAAAGAATAAAGTACATATTTGATCCATGCTCCTGTGGTGTGTTTCTGTATAATACCCTTAAACTGGACACTAATGAGACTCGTGTTACTTTAGAATGTTCACAGCCAGTGGGTCAGTCTGGGGAGACCTATCTTAATAAGGCTGACATTGATGTGCCACCAAGTCGGTTGGAGTGGCCTATCTCAGCCGCCAGGGTGAGACCCAAGGCACATGCAGTGTAGGATTAATTGAATCTTTGAACCGGACCATATTTCCAGTATTGCCCTGGACCTTAGAGATTGATGGGCAAAACTAGAAAGTTACACCCGACCCCTAGACTCGATTATGATACTGCACTAGGTGTCAGATTGGGCCGTCTTTGATGTACCAATCAGTGAGATCCTTAGCGGGGGTCAAAACCTGGGTATGTTGGGACAGTCTGAGAATTCATCTGAG